ATTTTAGTTATTATTTCTACCACTTTATTTATTCAATAGGTCCTTCTTYATAGATCATAAAGATACTCTAAAAATTACCWATGTATTTTCATTGTCATATAATTAAGAAACAGTGCACCAAAACTATTTTTCTCTTAAAATGTACTAATATAAAAAAGTACAGTCCATTAAAACAATAAATGTCCACTCAACACCAATAACCAACATAAAAGAATACTTTTAATAAATAACAACAAATTATCATAAACAATTCAAACAAACCTTTAAGATTGGTAGATATTATCCAAATATATTTCAATAAAAATACATAAGAAAATAATTTGACCGATAATATCAATTTATTGAGAGTTAAATATAACTAACATAAAAAATTAGCTCATAAGGGGAGGATTTCAATTGTATAGAACATTATCAATGAAATGAGCAAGTAACTGACAAAACATGGATACAAATTAGCAATTACAAACACAAGAGCTAATGAACAGAAGCAATCTATCCAGTGTCGGATGCCATTATAGTGAAAACAGAAGTGGACAGGACATTGAAACCACCACATTAAATTGAAACCCATAAGAAATTGGCAGTGTTGGCAACTGGTCAACTTACCCTCCGAAAACTGTGATCGCAGATGAAAGAGGGGGCAAGGGGCGGTGTTTGGGAGAAGAGGGCATAGGGCATAATTTGGCTCGCGGGAACAAAATCGCAGGTAGGAACACACAACAACATTGCAACGGACACAGAGAAACGATGAATAAGGGGCTCATAGAGAATTATTGTTAAAACGATCAAAAAATACAAGGGGCCCACGGTTTCGGCGGGAGGCCCAAAACAGCGGGTCCAATACGAAATCTCACAGCAGGCCGTAGGCGGCCGCCGGTAGACGTGCCGCCAAAATAATCAAATACATGAACGACTTGCGCCGCTGGTGGTGTACTCTGCTTACCTCGTCGACAGTAAGCGGCATGCAGATTCGGTACTCCTTGATCAGGACCATAGCGCTGCTGGTGTTAAGCGCGCGGCTCCCAGGGCGCTCAGATTTACGGGGCTCGGCCGCGGCGGAGGCGAAGACTAAGGCTGTGGCGGACGTTGAGCTCTTGAAAGGCCGTTTTGGAACGGCGTCCGTTGAACGGTGGCTTGGTTGCTATATGGTGGACTGGCCGGAACGCGACAAAACGAGACGAAAAAAACAAAAACAACAAAAACAGTGAATAATCTCGGATCAGCAAAAATGTAAATATACAAAACACGGCTATCCGACCATATTATTTAATATTTTCGTGGGGCAAAGAACGGTACGCGTACCCACTGCGGTGTCGGTGTACGGTGTAGTTGCAAACTTGCACCGGGCGAACCGCCCAGATAGCCGCGGTGACGCCGGCGGAGGCTACCGTCATGGAACGTAAAACGAAACGCTTTCCCGCCTCGCCGCGTTTTGGGTGATCGTATCGGCGTCGGTGATGGGTGAATAGTGCGCCACTGCGCCCAGTGCGCCCCCCGACGAGAATCTTACAAGGGCACCGGACGGGCGATGCCGTGTGTGTTGTCAGGTTGATCGCGCTTATGGTCCTCGAGTCCATGGAGTGAAAAATTACGGTGGTTGGCACCATAGACCTTAAAAGGTTGGTGGTTGGCACTGCCGCGGTAGGATGCGCGCGCATATTACACCGTGTCAGTAGTTGTACTGTATGTGCACCGAACGCCCGCACGCTACCGCTGCCACCGAAGTTTGTTGTGCGAGACGCGCACAGGCTGACAACCGTCCGACATTAAATGGCCGCACTGCCACCATCGTAGTGAGTAGTGACCCCAACACARACGACAGCTACAACAGCTGCTGTTTCTAGTTTCCAGTTCTATATGGCCACCGTCGCTTAAAAAAAAAACGATTTTTTTCGTGATACCCGCGTGAATATAGTAATAAACTAATAACAAAAACAAATACCATTTCATGCTAACAACAACACTATAAAATATAATATATGACAGCCAACTAACGCGTATGTAATACTTATGTATTGTTAAATTTAGTAGTGTCCCGAAAACATAATGATATGATAAATATTAGCAATGGCCACAGAATAAGGGTATTTGTACAAAATAAAATATAATTAATACGATCAACAATCGTATGCTGGTAAAATTAATAATTTATGGAGTTACTTGCAGTATACAAATTTAACACTCAATACTACACACTTAAGTTTTAAGTAAAAACACGGACTTGTTGCAAACACGTAAGTAAGGGATGGCTTGGGTTGGCTTTGTCGCCCAAAATATTTACAAACCACCCCATTATTATATTGTTGAATTACTCAAGGCTATGAGTAATGAGTTAAAGTAGTATAAGTACCTTTTATTTATATAACCACTTTCAACTTGTTATATCATATCTATAGTAATAACTAATTTATTTAAAAAAATCCTAACAGCAAGGGGGAGCAAATGACCTAGATTACCCCCCACTGGGCGCCTATGAACTTATTAACTTGTCATGATGTTTATCGCATCACAATAAACATCAGAMRCAATTTTATTTCGAACAATGTTATCAGATTGTCTGAACTTCGAAGAGAAATCATTTATAGATACTCGTCGTATTAACGCCCCTGAGTRGCCTAAGTCACATAAGGACATGGGTCCCACAAGGAGCGGTTTATAAGGAATCRTGGTACTAGGGYCTAGACTTCGAGGGGTCTAGCGTTCATGTAAATAATTACTTCAATRTTATATATTAAAAAAATGTTTGTATTCCGGATTTAGTTCTGAACCAGGGCCTAAAATATGACGTAAGGGGCCTGCATTAGGTCATAGTTAAAAAGTCAGTTATTATAAGTTTTAAGGGCCAGCCAGTTCTTCTCATTATACCGGTGGCTGGCGGCTGCGTTATATTATGCGATATCCTGATTCTTCCATAATATTATGGTTGAAATCATCGACGGAGCGGTGCCAAATTTTTACACTAATTTTAAAAACTCCGGATTATTATATTATAATTCTTACCTTGCAATTACCTTTCGTGGTAAACGGAAGGTCGTTAGTCAAGTTCGTTTTATTTTACTCTTTATAGCCAATATCTCATTATAATCATACACTCGTAAACGTATATTCCAATATACAACCATATGAGCTTGTGCATTGTGCCGGGACCAAGTGTTTTGCTCGTTTTAAGCAATATCTCGTTATAACCGGTGCACTTTATAGTGATTTCTACTGTATATGGAATATCGTGTTGCTTATGTATAAAATTAACCAAATTTACTTTAAAATGTGGTTGGAGCATCACCTCCCTCAATTTGGATACTGAATTAAATTTTTTCAATATGTAAAAAATTTAAATTAATAATTGATAAAAATATCAAAAAATATAACTTTCAAGACTAAAACTTAACTAAATCTAATCTTTAATCTATTCAGCGCTGTAACCCGCMACTTGAAGTTGTCATTATACTGTCATTGATCATTATGCCGTAGTATCATCTTTTGCAGTTGCATTAATTGAGGGGAACAAGATGGGTTTTTGCATCCCTCTGGTAAAATAGCCAAATTGTAGGTAACATAAGAATATTAATTTTTTTAATTTTGAGGAAAAAAGATACTGAGAGACAAAGGAATATTATTGCCAAGATAAAAATTAATAATATTTTAATTTTTCAGTCGAAATATTATGGTTGCGTATAATACAACAATCAATATTATAAATGTATCCATAGTTTCTAAAAAAACCTCTATACCTAATATAGTTTTTAAAATGTACTTGATTTCACAATTACTTTTTTTATAGTAATTTTGTCCAACCCCTCTAGAAAAATTTCAAGTGATGCCACTGAGGTTGCCGGTAAGCCACCATAATTCTTTGACTCCTCCGCGTCTTTTTTGGTATAAAAATTAGACTTTTTACTTACCTCAGAAATAAAGAATAAAGATATGTAAGATGGAAATTGTACCGAGATAAAAATGTAAGCAGAAATTAACTAGTGGGATATTCTTTTGTTCAGTCACTTTTTCCCCCTCCTAGTAAAAACTGAAATGACACCACTGGGGTCTTGTGGTTCACATACGTACCAACACTACCAACGTACCAGGCACGTGACTGAGAGCATAATATGTCGCACGCGGACGACTGGTTCAAATGGTATTGCGTAAACTCACAATTCACCAGAACTGCGCGTTTGTCCATCGGAATGAATGTCATTAACCGTCAATGATTTCAAAACCGCAATACACTGATTACACACACCACTTGAATCGATGCGCGTGAACTGCACTCACCGCATATGTACGTGACGCACAATAAATGCATAAGTACCGTCAACCACATTCGGTATGATACAAGATACAATCATTAAATACACTGCAAATTGCAATGAATCCATACGGCCAAAACGATTATACACGCGATGATATTCCACGTGGCTCGTTAAAAATGTTTGTAAAAAACAAAATATTCAAAAAAAAAAAATTCTTCCTTAACCTAAATTTTTAATCTTTTCAATAGTAGATAAAAGATAAGAAACAAATCCAGTATGTACCTAAAAGTACATATATTATACTTACTATTTGTAACAAAATTGTATTGAGATTGTTTACTAGTATGTTTGGTGTGCTGGTGGCCCGCTCGAAAATAATTATTTACCAAAAAAATATTTTCTTGTTTTCTAGCAAATATACCTGACTACACCTTACAGAAATATTTCTTACAATATTTAAGCCTAATAAACTGTATATGAATATGTGATGGTTGACAGTAAATATATTATGGGAAAGTCGTAAGACAGTAAAATATAGAGAGTTACATAGATAAATAATAAGCATAGCCGCATAGGTATATTACATAAAAAGGAAGGTACTTCATTAGGATAATCGATATTTTGAGTACTTTTAAAATTATACAAAATAATTAATATTCAAATTCTAAATGTAATAACTATTAAATGAGTTTTCATAATAAGTACAATATTAATATTATATAGAAAATAAACATAAAAGTAGGTAGGTAGATGTTTGAATTTAAATTCTAAAGATCCCATCATAATGATTGACCTTGTAGTTGTAGAATTATCACCAAATATGTTGTAACTGCTCCTGTTAACTATAACAATGACAATACAAAAGTAACTGTTATAACGCATGCAGGGTCATGCT